ATAATATCTTTGCAGTATTATTCCTAAAAATAAAAACAATTATGAATGCTTTTCTCTGTCTTTTTTAACATCAAGAAAATGCATTAGGTACTGTCTCTATTACCAGGCAAGTAATAAGGGGTTTGTGGGACTCTCCTCCGTGAACCCACCTGGCACTGAGTTGCCCATTGGGTCACTATATTCCCTACGGTGCACCCTCTCGTGGGAGATGAAACACGGGAAGCCGTGGCTGAGCCACCAGGACTCCATTCACTTAACTAGAACGCCATTTAAATTCCTAATGCTAGCTATTCAGTTTTAGAATTTGACACTGAAGATTTAGCACCAAGCGTTACATTGAGGAGGCCCCATATTTGAAAAATGCTCCAAATTACAAGATGCTAATTATACAGATGTCAAATAGCAAGATTCTCAAGTCAATTTACATCCATAATCCTTTTTTAATTGAGCACCTACCTACAACCTTTTGCAAAACGATTCGGTAAATTGCAACCCCTGTATTTGCAGTAATAAACCGCATCTTAAAAATAAGCACTAAATAGTTGATAATTAACAACGTAGTGTACCGATATGGCTGTTAATTAGGAGGTTCACTGATACTTTTCCCGGTGTTTTTGAAATATTTCATCATTCGTGGCGTACGATATTAAACCTTACATCGGATTAATAATTATCCAATTGCTTTGTATCTGTAAACAGCATATTTGCGTGTCTTGTCGTCTTAAATAAATAATCCTTGGTATTGATGTTTCAATTAAAAAAACTTGATTCCTTTATGGACCCGTTTTAATGGCACTACCATCAGAATATTTTTAATCAGTCTACGCCAGAGCAACAAATATAAATTAAAACAATGTGCTTGCGTGAGAGTATGGCTTTTACAAAATTTTCTCAACCAAAATACAGAATTAAAGGTAATCGACAAATAGTTGTCTGAACTAATTTATAACTAAGAGAAGATATGTAATGATAACTGAATATTTGTAATGATATCTTAGCACGATCAAACTGTAGATTGTTTTAATATCTATATTTACTCATTAGAATGCCATGCAGCGTCGCTAATAAATATATGAAATTGAATATCTTACCCTACCTCACTTGACAAGGAACTGCTTGGTGTGTTAGATTTGAAACCCTTGATTGGAGACACTGCCACGGCAGTTATGGCATTCGAATGTAGCTCTTAGGCTATTGCCTAATGCTATGGTAATGCAAGCTTGATTAATATGGTTTTAGATTAATCATCAGGTGTAAATACAACTTCTGGTAGAGCTGTGACATTCTCGTTTGCGTTTGCGAGTTCAGCTGCTCACATTATGCTTTAAATGTCGTTTATTCGCTCTTTTACGTAGTATTTATTTTCTTTGCCCCTGGGTCATGCTATAGAATTTTTCTCTCCTATAATTATTAAATTATTAATTTCAGAAAGGTTACTTTAAAGTTCATGATTATTTAATATCAGAATATAATTATAGTTTACAAGAAGGTTACGTCAATTGGTAAATAAAAATATCAATGTCATTGTTTTAGTTATAATCGTGTTTATGTCTCTAGTGCTTTAAACAATTTCTTAAAACATTTTCTCTACGATAAATATTGTCTTTATTTGAGCTTCATTTGTTCAGGTATATATCTTAATAAAGATGAATTTTATAAACGCGATTCAGTGTTTTTGGAATATCTATGAATGCCACCGTGTTTGAACGCAATGTTTACATTAATAAGTGGTTGTTTAATCTTAATAACAGTAATAACACTGGCTATAATTAAGAACCTTTACGTTTTAAATTATTGCTCCCAACAAATTAATTCGGAATTTATCAGGAAGTAGAACCGACAAGTGCGAGATGATCTTATTTACGAAGGGCTCATGATTTTATCCGTCATCATAATCATAATGGACACCTAAGTGACACTTCGTCGTCATCATCAGCTGCCACTACTCTGGGGCACATTTCTTACCTATGAATAGAATTGCAATATATAGGTGCAATGTATGCAACAGATCATCATACGCCATGTTGGTTCGCTGCGGATTGGCGTTCGTTAACTGATGTAGCTGAAACCAACGACTTAACGGACCTTCTAAAGCAGGTGGACATCTGGTCACCCATCCCATGACTGACCTTTCAAAAAAATACTAAACCTTGTACAATTGCAGAACGAAGATGCTTGTTAAGGACTCGTACTCTGTGAAAATTTGTTTGTCTAAATTATAAAACAACCCTTAAAAATACAAGCTGAAATTGTATTAAATTACTGAGTTTTTGTTATTGTAAGAATTAAAATATTTAAGTCTAATTATTGTATTGTATTGTCTTATCATATCGGTTTTTGTTTGGTATTAACTAAACATATTTTTAGGTATTTCATATAATACAATATAGTTTCTGTTTGTCACATTGAAAATCTGTATTATTTCATCACGTATTCTCACTACTTTGCATTTTTTATTAGACACATCACAAACATTTCTCAGATCCAAAATTAACCCCTACCACGAGTGTAAGATATTAAGAAAATAATCCCAGATTTCAATTTTATAATTTAAAAAAAAACCACTGTCCATTTGGAACTTTAGCATTATACAATTTAAGTGGTATTACCTTTATTCCTTAAGACTTAATTTATTAGACAACACAAAAACCAGGCACGAAATAATATAGAAAAACTAATTTTCTTCATTGACCCGGCCGGGAATCGAACCCAGCACCTCAAAGATAGAAAAAAGTTGAAAACAACAAGCCACTCGGCCACGGAGGTCGTTAAATATTTACTACTGAACTAGAAATCATATTATTATCATTTATCAATGTTACTACAATTATATGGAGGTATAAAATCATACACAAATGCTTCAACTACCGGTTGAACACTTATCGATTAAATGATTATAAATCATTAACTCGATTAATGTTAGCCAACCTTACAAAAAAGGCAAAACAGCTTTGTAATAAAAAAAAAAGTATGTACATAACGTTGTGAAATTATGGTAATTTCATAGAAGGCGCCGTACTCGTAGCGCAGATCGCTATTAGATAAAACGATAATGATCTATAATAAACACTTTATAAATCGATCTTATTGTCTTATCACTGTCATTATAGACAAACATCGTGGACTGGTTAATGAACATTAAAATAGCGTTAAATTGCTTAAAGTAAAGAAATAAAAATTTACATTTGATAAGAAATCGTATGTTTTTGAAATTTATATATTATTCTATCAGGCAGTGTTCTGAACAGCATAAAATACAAACAAAATTATTTAATGCCATCTTACTCGCCTACAGTAAGTGCAATGAAATAACTATCATATTACTCGAGCCTGACGCTTTCATAGCTGATTATTGCTATATGTGATATCTTCAAAATGTCACACATATTAAAACAAAATTTTATTACACTTCTGTTTACACAAGTATAATAACCGGGATTTTATTGACTAGATATTTGGAAATTATTTAAACGATAAACATAGTAACATAAGGCACATAAGCAATATTGATATTGTCGGTTTGATTAAGGTAAAATGTCTTAGTTCCATTATTGTTAATAATAGATGGCGTTAGTCTATTATACGCCATTTGTACATTTTTAATTTTTTGTAATAAAGCTTAAATTAATAAATAATATTACCAATATTACAATTTTACTATTATTTTCGTATAAATCGAACTGTAGTACTTTACTTTATACCTGAAGTCCAATATTATTACTGCAATGTTTTCCTCACAGATTAATTATGACAAATATAGTTATTATTTCGGATCTAGTAACAAGAACTGTGTCAAAAAGGTTAGTGGTAGAAATGCGATTGATTTTCCATAATTGCGCTAACATTAGCAGAATTGCCCTACAGTGGTATGTCAAGTGGACGACCGATTTTTAAGTATAATAAGGACGCATTACTGTTACTTTCTGTTGCCACATTGCACCACTAGTATAAATGTAGTAAATATTTTTTATAAACATCAAAGATCGTTCACAGTGTAGTGAGCAAAGAGTAAAGTAGTAGTAAACATAGTGGAATTTAATATCTTTTGAATGTATTATTAGAAAGAGTATAATTTTATTCTATCTAACGTCATTGCTGCATTTTTAGATGTAAGTAGGAAATTAAAGAAGAAGAAGAAGAAGAAGAAGAAGAAGTAAGAAATAAAGAATCATTTCATAAAGCCGTCTAGGTCAAGAGTTGCGTGCGTAATATTCTCTTTATGCTGTTCTGTTATTAGAACACTATAGATTCACCATTTTTCCTAATAGATGCCGCTAGTTTTATAATAATCATCACCAGTAGGACCACAAGTGAACACGGGTTTTGTGTACATGGCGTTTTGGAAATTTCGCATAAGCAGTCTACCTATTTCATTAGGCATACGAAACATAACCGTTAGTGAAATGTTAAATAATAATGTATGCTAATTTGAACTGTCACGATTTGCATTGGCATTCGGTCTCCAATGAAGCACTTCTTGTAAATGGGGCTTGGAACTGCGAAAAGCTTTTAAGTATCGTGTAGTTTCCAGCTTATTATAATATCTCATTGAACGCTTACAATACTAAATATTTTAAAGTCTCTTTCCCATGCACATTATTCAAAAGATACTTATACTTAAATTCACTGAGAGACGTTCTATAAAAGGAAATTATTTGTGAAAGAATTTTCGTTTGCATTTTCTGAGTTATGTTAAAGCAATATATTTTACATATATAGCAAATGCATCTAGGAAACTATTCAACTCTATTTATAGTGAAGCCATGATGATTATGAGTTTTGATTCGATGATGAAGTTGTAGTGAATTCAAAATATATTGCGAATAGTTTGAGGTAATATATTGTAATCCTATGTAAACATAAGTGATTCAAATTTCGAATATTTCGATTCAACTCTGACCCTGCACTAAAAGACCACTGCTAGTTCCGTCGTGTCTAGCGTACAGCTGAATTCATATTATTTAATTTCGTAATTAATCTTATTGTTTTGTTTGTTTCAGCACGCGAATGCCGTACGCGAGTCAGCCAGGCTTATTCTCGAATCACAAGCACCTGAACCTGATGATGCCCTCACCTTAGCAAGAGCACTCCGCACCCGTCCACCAGTCAACATGCTGATAGCGGCAAAAGCTGGCACCTTTTTCGCTAGAGATAATGTATCCAATTTCATAGAGTGGTGCCGTAGAGCTTTGGGCATCTTGGAATGCCTCCTTTTTGAAACCGACGATTTATGCTTAAGAAAGAATGAGAAGCATGTCGTATTGTGTCTCCTAGAGGTTGCTAGGAAAGGTGCTGTGCTGGGTATGCCCGCACCATTGTTGGTTCAAATGGAAAAACAAATAGAGAGGGAACTCGCCGGAGAGGAGTTGAGACCAGATGATTCCGCTCTAGGATTGGTTCCGTTAGGACCTCAACCTCAGCTCGTGACCAACGATCTGAGGAGTTTGGATGAGAGAGTCAGAGATTTGGTGGAAAGGTGCTCGTGCCCGACACAGTTTCCGATGGTGAGGGTGTCTGAAGGAAAATACAGGATTGGCGATACAAGGCTCCTGATCTTTGTCAGAGTGAGTATTTTTTTTAACTAAAATCAACTCTTTTTTTTTAATAATTACCTCACAAAATCAAAGCCAGTCCCCGTTTTCCCGTGGTCCAATTGAATTCTAGGTTTTAAATACCATTCCTTTTTATATTGTTACTGCATTTTTATTTTAGAAATATTCAGAAATATTGTCAGTGACGATTTTGTTAAATCAGTATTCTATCTATGATGCAGATATAGAAAGTAAATATATAGGTACAATTATTCAATTTACATAAACCCCATTTTGTTATCGGGAAGTAATTGTAAAACGGGGACATTGTTACTTTACGTGTGAATATCACACTTTACGCATTTGCAACGGTTCCTTTTAACTGTTTCATCTGAAGCCATTAAATTCCTTTTATTACGACCTATCGGATTAATTGAAAATCTAGTTTCCAAATAGGTGTACTAGTCAGCTATTACAATTGATTTAAATCTACTAGGTGTACTGATTTGTGTTTGTAAGTTTTCCATTAAAGGTAATTTGTGATTGGGCATTTCGAAAACTTGTTTTTATTTGTCACTTGCTGATAAATTTAGGTATATGAATAAAAATTCAATGATAAATTTACCAGGATTCAGCATTAATAAATTCTTCTTTAAAGTTAATGCGGTTCCACCTTGAACAATTCTCTATATCATCTAGTTTTTCGCCTTATTGGTTTGCTTATTCTCCATCTCCATTCTTGAACATTGTACCCCAAATTCTGTCAAACCGTCAGCATATATATGATCACTTCTATTTCAAAATCAATATACCTTAAACTAAAGCGAATTTGAAGTACACATTTTCATTGAAATCTAATAATTCATTTAATTTTATCGTATTATATTACTGACCTGCCCCGGCTTCGTACAAGTCCAATTTAGACAGAATCGAATAGAAACGTTATGACATATATACCGTCTATATAACAGCATATATATAACAGAAAACATCATATACAACTAATAGACCGACTGGAAGTTAGCAAGACGGGAACATTTTGACACAAATAGCCAAATAGCATAAATGACTGGAAGTGAGATGTATGTTATGTTTTAAAAATAAAATATAATGTCGTTTATAATAACACTTATCGATAATGATCAACCATCAGCCGTTGGAAAGCAACGTATTATATCGACCTTCATCATTCATCTTAGATTTGTTGACCTCGTTACTTCGTTTAGGATCAGCCTTGCAACCCTTAATATGGCTCGAAGACCAATCTCATTTGGCCCTTTCATTTTAACTGACACCTGTTCTTCAAAGGCCATCTTAGATTAGCCACCATAAAAGACAAATTTTATTAGACATGCACCTGCGTTTATTTTGTTACTAATTATAGATCTTCGCGCATTGGTCGGTGCTTTAAGGTCGAATTTCTAATGTTTTCTCGATATCTCAAGATCGATTTGACCAAATATGGACATGATCGGTGCTCATGATTCATCGACCGATAGACTTTAACGGATTATATCGTAGTTTCTGTGACCTTCTATAAGACAGGGAGCGCTAAAATAGATGTCGATTATTTCTGTTCTAATTTGAATTTATTTAATTTGAATTACTTCTTGTTCTCATAAATCAATAATGTCAGTCCTTTGTTACTGTGTTAATATTATGATATGATTTTATCAGAATAATCACTTTAAGAGGGATAAAGTATAAAATCATTTATGATACATAGATCCTCATTTTTAAAGTTTAGAATATGCAAAATGATTGTAAACTTCAGTTGAATATTGAAAAGTAGCTATCTTAGTTTAGTGCTAAAACAAATTTCACTCTGTGGTAGAAATGTTGATAATTTGAATATGCCAATTTTTTCATTACAGTGCGAAGACGAGCTCTTGCACAGTTTTAAACTTATTCTAAAAGATGTCCTTTCCACATTTCAGATTCTTCGATCACACGTTATGGTTCGTGTTGGAGGAGGTTGGGACACATTAGCCCACTATTTAGACAAACACGACCCCTGCAGGTGCCGTGCTCAACATCGCACTTCTCTATCAGCTCGCCTGGCTCGTCCCAAACACGATCTAGCAGGCGCTACTGTCACATACGAACGATCAGACCCAGGCCCCACCTCCCTTCCATACAAAACTGAAACGCTCCAAAAGAATTATGAACCTATGTCTCTACAATATTCCTCAAAATTATACTCTGATGACCCAAGAAGCACGCATTATCAATCGAGCCACCGCCTTAACGATGCTCCAACCAGCTTGCCGTATCTCGGGGAATTGGACAGATCTCATTCTCCTAGTCGAAAACATTTGGCACCGAGAGCAAACAGTCCTGGCAGGAAATCTTCGTCTCCTGATCGAAGATCTAAAATTGTTTCTTCTAACCATTTAGTTCCAACACCATTGGGTGTGAGGAATAAAAGCCCTAGGCCAGTTTCACCAGCTCCAGCTACCGAGAGTGCTTCGGATAATGGGTCTGAGGTATCCGATGAGGGGTATAGAAGTTTGGGGGTGGTGGCCGGGTCTACGCAGGGCTCGCCGCCAACTAAAACAACGAATAGATACTCGATGCATAGCCAGAATTCAATTGAAGATGCTGAATATAGTGGTAAGTTGTTGTTTTTGTCTTTGCTCTTTTTTATAACATCGTTTCCTATCAGTAGGTATTTAAATGTTGAATCATATACAAAAAGTTACGTTTTTTATTAATACATATATTTTCGAACTAACTGTATAAACTACCAACTTTAGTGTTTAAAAAAATCATAGTAATCTATTCTGGTTTGTATTGATGGTAAAACGTCGATGAGAATGGTTAGATTTTTGCAGATTTGGTCAGAAAACTATCTGGACATCTATTTAAAGTACCATTTTCAGGTCACAAAACTAATCAATCAAATGTTGATTGTACTTTGTCGACCTTTAAAATTTTCATATATTATATTTATCCAGTAAATAATTCAATTTTGCAATTCATAACAATTACTAAATTGGATGTCGATAGCTCCCTGCAGCAAGCCAACAACAATAAAGTTAAATTGGCGACACACAATTGCGGGACATCGTTAGCTATTTCAGAGGAAATTCATTGAAATGTTACTAAAATGACTGGCGGTCGTGCTACAGTGCGTCTCCACAATACGTTAAAAGTCTACAACTGATAGCGGTTTTGCTAAACCAACAACAGGAAAAATTGTCACGCACTGAGAATTTCATATAAATCCTAAATATTTCCTGTTATAATTAACCATTCTCATGTGATCTTTAATTATTTATTTTTTAAATTCTGGAATCTCTTATGCGGTGGAAGGTAGGTTCATTTATTGCTCATTTACATAAATATCTATTATTTTATTTCATTAAATTCACTACGTCGAAAAAACAGACACAACTGGGCATCTTTTTGTTATTTTTATAATCTTAGTTAATAGATTAAACGTTTGTGGTATATGATAATTATGCTAGTCAGTAGAGAAAAATAATCGATCAATATAATACCTAATATGCAATATTGGGTATTATTCAGAATTATTCCAAATAGGTGAAGGTGAAGTATAATTGATTCACGAATTCGCTTGGCAGTATTTAAATTTTTTACAAATCATAACTAGAATAGAAAGTATTTTCAGTATTCTATTTAAGCAATACTGTTTCTTCAGTAATCCATTTGGTAAGTGTAGTAGTTTGTACCTTACACCCAACATTGTGCAAACGTATTCGCAACAATATTTGTTAGGACGTTGTCCCACCATCGTCCGACGTTATTTTCATTGTATGAATTCTCGTCGTTTGCGTCCTTTGTTCTCTCATCTTTTCAGTGTAACATGCAAATAAGAGTTCTGCTCTCTAAATAGTTACAATTTCAGGGTTACCATTATTTTATTTATCTATAATTTTTTGAAAACAATAATAATTGCGGGTGTCAACAATATCTACTATTTAATTTTATGATGACACGAATGATAAACCTATAATTTATTTGATTCCCTTTTTCATTTCAATTTGCTTCGACTTTCGTTCAAATATTATTGAAACAATATTAAAAGTATTATTAATGGAATTAAAGATGAGAGAGTTACGAAGAAGTAGTGTAGTTTTATATCCATCTTATAAAAACTTACAAAAATGATAGAACAGTTGCTCGGTTAGCGTTAAGTGACAAGTTAGATTTTCATCTTGAAATCAAATTGGAACTGATTGAAATTTTAAGTAATTTTCTCTATGAGAATTATTAATATAGTGTTGTAAATGCAAGAAATATCAAATGTAAGAATAACAGGCTAAGAAATCAGTCAGGTTAAACATTGAAGTTTTGCAATCCTAACCCTGCCCATATTAGGTTGTCTGTTGTAACATATTTAAATGTATTTTGTTTTGACATTCCGTAGCGTCTTCATTGTCCATCTGAGTGTGCTCTGTCGCAAATGCGACAGTGTATTTGGTCAATTGTCTCATCCGAAACCGTGTTATATCGTGAGAGTGTTATATAAAAATGAGTACGCAGATCTTTGGGAGTCATATAGTTGCATAAACTTGATGGTAGTTAATAAACCTTAATTTGTAACGGTGATCTTTCTTTTTTTATTCTGTCTATATTTCTACATCGGCGTCATTGTTTTCTTTGCTGGATGAGTGCTTAGAATCTAATACACGGTTTATATGTAGCAATAAGATAGATAACGCCTAGGGATATAATAATATACCATAACATAGTTTTACGAAATATCTTCATTATTTTATTAACATCGCATATTTTTGTATTTACTTATATGTTATATAGTTATAAATCTACCATAGATTCCATATCCATACTAAAATTAATTAGACTTATGGATAAAACGAAAGATTATACCTAGACCCGATTAGATTTATTGTAGTACTAGTTTCCGTCAGCGACTTCGTCCGTGTTTTCCATTATTTCTTCACTCCTAATAGTTGTAGCGTGACGTTATATAGCCTAAAGCCTTCCTCGATAAATGGTCTATTCAACAAAAAAAGAATTTTTCAATTCGAATCATTAGTTCCTGAGATTAGCGCGTTCAAACAAACAAACAAACAAACTCTTCAGCTTTATAATATTAGTATAGATTATATTATTATCAGCTGCTGACTTTATAAATAAAGAAACTGAACGGAATGAGAGAGAGAGAGAGAAATTAAAAATTATTTTATATTAAATATATATATTTTTAATGCAATTAGTAATAAATATTACTAAGTTCAAATAAAATATATTCATCTATGTCTTTAGGCTAGATTGAGGTCAAGAGTGAGCCCATTGTAAATAAATAAATTAAAAAAATAAGAAATCTGTTCCATTTGAAAGTTCACGTTTCAAATTTAAGTATAGCAGGGCAATTGATGCTTGAAAAACTCATCGCGTATACGCGACCAAATTTCTTTGAAAATATGCGCTGACTCAGATTCTATTCGTCATGGTGCGATATGTGTAACAACTAATCTGCAATTTAAATAAAGCAAATTCTCAGTGACATGATATCATCTTTCCGATATTTTCAAACACCATCGTTTAAAATTGTAAACATATTTATTTTTGTTAGAAACCACATAAAAGTTCATCGTCATCATCATTGTGGCCATCCTTATGGATGGGTTAAGGAGGACGTGCCATGACCCACCACGCTGGCCCAATGCGGATTGGAGGGTATTAATGACTGTATGTACATGCAGTTGCGTTCAACGGCTTAAGGTGTCTACCGAAGCACGAAGTAGCTAGAAATTTTTTTATGTGACCGCAAAAGTTGCTTAACAACAACGTTCGCGAGCCACGACGCTTGTCCACTACGCCACCGAGCTACTCATAAAAGTTTACTTGCTAATATTTGAGTTTATCCTATACAGTGATGTCACAATTGTTTTGTCGATGTTTCAGGGTTTTGAACTTAAAAATAATTTGGGTTAAGGTGGAAATAGTCGATTTTATGGAGTGAATATTCTAAAGCTGGAGTGCACTCTTCTTGCGTTTTATTGTTTATACAGTTCCATTCAATCCATTTACTACGTTTGTGTTAGTGTTGTGACACGCAATAATCGTTATCGATGAAATCGATAGTTTCATCAGTAAAATACATATCAGCCAAATATTGTCCATACCATCGATTTTATCATTTTATTACCGTAGTAAAAAAAGAAGATGACTACGTGATTGTATATTATTATTTAAATACGTAATAGTGTCAATGTATTATTCACTATCGAGGTTTTTATTTGAAATGTATGAATAGTTTACTATCTAATATAAATTGAAAATGTAATTTCTTTTTCTATACAATTTATGTGTCAAATTATTTTGTTTTATTATGAGTAGAATAGAGTGAGATGATCTTTTGCTAAATATGTCTAGTTGTTTACAACTTTATGAATACAAAAACGTGCACAGCATTAAATTCGCGTCTGGACTGAACTAGCAATAACTGTTGTTGATATGTAACAATAGTATATCATGTGTTAAGTAATCAATACATACTGTTAAGGGATATAATTTAAATAGGACTATCGAAAGGTTAAGTGATTCTCTAGGCCGCAAAATAACAATATTATCGATAAACCATCGCTCACCACTAGTCACCAGAGATGTAAAGTTGTTGCGTTATACTGATTTTGAAAGACCCCTTTCAATATGTTACTTATGTTTATACATGCAAATCGAAGGATAAACATTGAATGTAACAATATCACGTGGAAGGACAATTGGTTTAGTATGAGATAATGTGTAGAATGATGTTTCTTATTTTTTTGTGTCAAGGTACTATATGATAATAAAACGGTTTTTGTCACAACAATAGTTATGATTTAAAGTCTGAACTTTAAATTCATATTTCTCTTCTTATCGGTTATTATTCATAACGTCGTTGCATCGAATAGCGATTGTTTTTAATAATCGACATCAAAAATAGAAGGTTTGCAATTCCACGATATCTTCGTTAGTATTGGACTGATTATGGGGATTTTTTTTTATTTACAAGCGTATATTCTCGAAGCAATTTTATAATTATCATCAGAATCAGAAAAGTAATTATGCTTTTATGTTATGTTATAAAAAAAATATATAATAACATTTAAATTATCTTGACGATGTTGTAATCACTAAAAAGGTTATTCAGGTTAATTTTTTTACTATTATTTTTTAAAATTTATTATAAAACTGTTAACAATTTCAATTTACTTGATTAAAAGTTAGGCTGTTGGTACCTACAAAGTCACCAAAAACTTCGTCCAAACATATTAGAGAATAGTTTCAAAAACATTTTTTTTTCAGTCACTTTACACATAACCTTACAAATTATACATGACTTGTAAGCTTTTGTATTTTTATTTGTGAATCACTATATTTAGAAAACTGCATGACAATCTTATTAATTCTTTTTCTAACGTTTAAACAGATAGACCAACCGCGGCGCTCTTAGAAAGAAAAAAAAAATTAAAATAAATAATATTTTATATGCCCGCAGATAAAAAAAATATTTTATATGTCCTTAGATATTTTAAAATATCTAAGGACATATAAAATATTTTTTTTTATTCTTTTTTTTTCAAAAGGAGTAATTTGATCATATTATCACCTTTTTAATAAAAAAACTATACATAGTTATATCCAAATATTGCTTTATGTGTTCAATGGTTGTATTTTCCCATGATCGACCTTCACAAATCATATTAGCGATCATTGCTTGATCTAATTTAATATCACATACATAATCATCGTAGGTGTCAAGTAGTGTTAGGGTTTTCATCAACCAGATATTATCTTAATAGCATCAGTCGTACAAAGTTTTTATTTTGTTATACAAGCTATATGTATAAGATTCTGAGTTTACATTGGAAACTCGATACATCTTAAATTTGTCTCATATAAGTTATAGTTTAATCGTGATGTTTTGATTTACCATTACAATGGCGTTGCTCAGTAATAACTAAACGTCGAGGGTAGGAATTGAAAAGTCAGCGCCGTTATGACATTAAAAACGCAAGTCTGGGAAATTCGTTGCCTTCTAGTGCAGAACAAGATCACAAAAATATACTTTTGTATCAATTCGTTAGTCTGCATAGTTTTATAATATAAGTCACCGAGATTAGACGGTGGTAGCCCTGTAGAGATCAGTTGGTCACATTGTCAGCAATCTGGTCGACCGCCTTTTATGTACTGGAATGTGGTCCAGACCTCGTGCTAAAAAGGAGCTGCCTTTAAAGCCACTGGTCTAGAGATGATGCGCTCTTGGATTTGAAGACCTTGATAAAGAGTAGCCTTATATGATATTGGAAATTTTGTAGCCATATCGAGTGGATATCAAAATTTGAAGCTTATAGATGCTAAATGTTATAAATGCTCTAGTTTCAAAACAAAATTAATGATGTAAATAGTTGTAAATGTTTTAGACCTTATGTTTCTCTTGGATCAGGATGAATAGAATCACTAACATGCATAGATATTGAACGGATTGAGAAGGTACTCAATCTAACTCGATCGGTTTTCAAACTTTTTATAAGTCGTTTCAATATTTCATTAATCGTTAAAGTATTCCTTTAATCCATTTCGTATTTACAAATACTGAGGACATCTGCAGATCTAAAATTACGATTTTAAAAAAAGATTCCAATTATTTACATCGGTTTGAGCAGCATAACTATAACAAAATTTGAATTGCAGATGTATTTGAACGTTACAATAAATTCTATTAATGTCATCGTACAATTATAATTTGACATTTCAAGATGATTTAACCTTGACGTTCCTTTTCTTGTAGAAGCTTAGACCGTGGCACTGGAATACATTAGAAACATTCTGAATGCTAACAGTGGCTAATGATGGTGATTGGAAATTCAAAAGATCACTTGGAAAGAGAATTTAGATTGTTTCCAACACCGATCATTTAAAATATTGCCTACATTGTGTTCGTATGAAAATGATCATTCCAACGCGTTCTTAAAGTTTCAATTTATCTTTTTCTTGTTAAGAATTTTAATAGGTTTCAACAGAATATTCCTCTTAAATATAAAACAGTATAAAAATTGGTATCATAAAATTAAACCTAAATAAGCCAAGCAAATGTCTTTAACGCAAGTATAAGTATGAAATCCGTAAATAATAAGCTACGTTTGAAAAAAAATTGGTATCATATGATTAAACAAAACTTTAAATATGATTTGTAAAACCCTGTTCTGTTTTGAAGAATATTTTATTCTATATATAGGTTTATTTAATATAATATCATGAGATTACGCTGTTAAATCAAATCACTATTACTTGTTTATTTAAAATACAATATGCCTAGGTATCAAACGTTTAACCTGAGACCATTAAGGAAGTATTGAGTAATGGCTGGCGATGTGCTTTTAAGGCAATAAATGATAGACTACAGCATTATAGTGAGACAGGAAAGGTTGCAGATTTATTAGAATCAAATAACTCTAACGATCATACTGTTATAACAAATCCAAAAATGGAAGCCGGTGTGATTATGTATTGTAATTCAGTTGTACTATTTGTTATTTATTGTCCTGACAAGAGTCTGCCTTCACCGTGTAATTTAATTTTATGTCTCTCTAATTAGACTTTATTGAAGTCTAACAATTATTTTGTTTACATCTAATAAACTGAATTCATTGTTAATATAGCTAATGTTTTACTTTTTGTTCAATTGCAGAGCGTCTCGAACAAGATGATGGCTGCCACTTGGATAGGAATGAAAGAGTTGACGACTACGTGAGCATCACCACCGGTCTTCGGAAGACAGACTTTTCGGATACTTTCTATAGAAACAAAAAACCTGGTTCAATAGAAGATAAGTCAAATCGTGGCAGCCCCGAAAGAATAGTTGTCACTGAAAACAATGACTCACCTAGTAAAAGTCTCAGACCTTCAAGGGAAGCAACAGACTCACCGATAAAATCTGTAAGAAGTCGACAAGCTAGTCGTATACCACACTCGCCTGTCCGTGCTAGAACACCAAGCCGTGGGAACACTCCGAGTCCAAAACATACTGCTAATCCAGTTCAAACGTCGCCCAAGCTTACACCAAAGCTACCGCCTACAGCCAGAAACACATGGAACGGCAGAACTGCCCCTAGCCAGACTAAATCCAAAACGAGACCTACAATAGGTGCAGATACTTTCGAAAATCCTAACAAATCTCCAAAGGCAAAACTGAAAACGGTTGTGCAAAGTGAAGCGTTTAAAAGAAATTCCCCTTTGAGAGCCAGTAGTGCTACATTGAGGTCACCGCCGAATCAGAAACCTTTAAGTCCCTTATTAGAGCAGATATTAAGGTCCGCTGAAACAGCAAAAGATGATGCAGCAGTGTTGGCAAAAATGAAAGAAATCATCAGGTCATATTCGAAAGGTGACAACGATTCTCTATCTAGAACTAGTTCAAAGGATTCTGACTACGCTGACTTTACATCGGCCTGGGTGATGTCCGATGGTAAATTAGAAAGATCGATGAGCACGAGGCAGTTGGCTACGCCTAGAAAAGATCAAAGAAATGGCCCTTCGAGAATACCGGCTCCTGTCGCTATCGGTTGCAGAAGGTCTACATCCACGTCTCAGTTTCAATGACAGGGTGATTCTCAAGAATCTGAGGACTTAAGTGAAAAGTGACCCAAATTGTAAGCTGGACATATTCCGGTGGCTTGGTGTCTAAAGTCCATATAATGTCACAAAATCATTTTTGAATAAAAATGTGTAATTATGATTAAGAAAGTTTCGGTGGCATTCCTATTTGGACTTAAAAAATTCAAAGACGGGTACGCAGTTTCTTTAACAACATTAAATTGAAACATTGCTTATGAAAATGAAATATCTATCATAAACACATCAATAGGTATTCCTTAAGATTATATCTTTGTGGCGGTAGAAGTAGATGTGAGTAGACTTTTAAAATTAATAAATGGTACTAGATTCTTGAAATCAGTAGGATATACATAATTTCAAGATAACTTTTTTTAATATAGTTATAAATATTATTATTATATTGCCTAGACAACTATACTAACAAGATTAACAACTTTTTATCAATTTTACGACTAGCAATTTTAAATCATCGTTTCTAGCACGAATCCACTAGTGATTAGATAAATATGTCTCAGGATAAAAAGTTGTAGTTATTCGCTCTAAAAGTTGGTTAAGGATGGTGCTAAGAAGAAAGCGTTAGTGTTTTAGTTATTTTTAATTTAATTATTTTATATAGAATAGTCGACTTTATTATGAAATTTAAGAGTAACCCAGATATCAAAATAACGAAAACATTAAAAAAGCTGTTTTTCAACTATACAACTCTAATAGTTTTTGATTATTTTTCTTTTATATTTTTTATATAAACATTTACCGTAGATCGGATAGATGATCGATTTATTTATAACCAATAAGATTTTAAAATAAGACCATTCAGTTTTTGAACGTCGACATTATTATTTGTAGTTAGGTTTTAGGTTAAGCTTTTGATACCCCGGTACGGTTGTCGAGAAGAAGCATTTAAAAAATCATTAAAAAAACTAGCATTTTGTGCGCATTTACTGTAAATGAAATCATTCCAAGATTTTTTGATCCGGGACCATTGGTAATTACATGAATGCAGTAATCTCAATTATTTTCTTGTTTTCATTTGGATTGTGAGGGGCTCGGAGCTAATATGATATCCGTTGTGTATTTTCAATTAATTATAGTATTACACAAGTTCAAAATAAGGTGATATGGCATAGAAATCAACAAAAACATCCGTCGTCATACCTCATAATTAGTATACGTAAAAATTGTAAGAGATATTTTTTCACTGACCTTTTTAATAAACAATTTTTGTAATCATTATGCCATATAACCGTCCATTTAGAAAGGGCGTAGTATAAAGGGTCACCTGTAGACACTTTCTTCATAATCATGAATAATTTAATGGTTTAATTAAATTTTATGATAAAAGTGTTTAAATATTTAACGATTCGTTGAACATTGGCCCTTATATATGGGTATTATCTTTCTATATGTGTCTATATGCCTTAGTGTCTATGTTAAATTATAGTTTGAAATTATACTATAAAATTATTTTATGGTCTACTTTGCTTGGTGTATAGATTATAATGCTCTGCCCTATAACTATTATTTAGCTGGTTTCACGTTATTATTATTGTCTGTTCTTCAATAACTTGATATTTGAGATATCATGGTATCTAAAACGCGACCATGATGAGAAATTATAAATTATGTCTGAAATTTTATTCCATTGGTGCTTATGCGTTCACAAATGACATGTTTTAAGAATGTTATAAGCTACTTTGCTATCGCATCATATTGAAACATTGTTATATTGTCATAATTAATAGAAAGGAAGCCACTTTACTCGAGTATTTGTGGCTATATACAAAAGATTGTTTCCACAAGGTTCATATCTTGGCCCTAATGTTTTTAAATACCTATAAAATAATGACAATGTAACAAAGTTAAAACTAGAGGCTAAGTGAATCTTAGTTAAGTTACTGTTTCTTCGACATAACGTTACCAGTGACTATGCCATAGAAATTGTTATATTTCACTGAATAAATGATCAAAAATAAATTATTGTTTTCCTTTGTTACCATTTCACATTGATGTATACATAATATACTCTTATATAACCAAGAATAGTTTATACATACCTTTTTAAAATACATATCTCCTTTTTGTTTGTGTTATACCTATATACATACTTAAAGAGCTTTCTAGCATAATCTTTCTGATAGACGCACTGACAGAGCGACAAAATTTATTAAAAATTTTGTCCGGTCATGTCGGTCTTACGATTTTACTTCAGTAAGTCAACTTCTAATAATTATTAGTTTTCGTGTTCTAAATTTCAGATACTCGTAAAGGAATGAAAATTGATACAGAAGAGTTGATCTTTACGGCTACCTAGTGACATCAATTTTAGTAATTTCTTTTTTGAAATAGTTGCCCAAAAACGCCTGCATATTCTATGAATGCAATATTGACAAAAAGAAAATATATGACAACCGGGGCTGGTTGTGTTGTATATTTTTCATAACCCCAGAATTTTAACAGAGTAAAGCATCCCCTATGAGCGCCGTGGCCTGCGGTCTTTGTTGTTAAGCATATTTCGCAAATATTAGTCACAGGATGGGTGAACAAAAAAAATATTATCTCGAGCTACGATGTGCTTTGGAAGGCACGTGAAGCTATTGGTCTCAGCTAAGGCTTCCAATTCGAGATCTGAGTCAAGCGGAATCTTTAGTCTGCGGGATTTTCGGGATTGAAAAGAAACATACAATTGACCACACGCGAGCGTCATCGCTCGCTGATTTACAGCGCACTGATGGACAAAATGACACAATTAAGTAAAGTTATAATTACTTTTGACATTCAGTTAAAATTAGTTTTGGTTCATATTTTAATTTAGTAATATTATATTTTGTAGTTGAAAGATTTTTTCAGTAAGATTTATTTTAATTTTCAGAGACAAATAATATTACTTCTTGATTTCACGCTAAAATGAAAACTGAAATAAATGTGAAGTTATATCGATTAATTCTTTGTTGAAATATTTTCTATATGTGGGATTCCGCGAATACCGAGATTTCGCGGGATTGAAAATTCCTAGTTCCGTAAATACCGAGACTTTACAGGCTCTGGGATTGAAAGCATTTGAACAAAGAAGTTTTCACGTAAGTTATACGCGGCTGGAACGGCCAAAACATTTTTTTTGGTTAAATACTCTTTGATATAGAAAAGAAAACGATCCGTCATAATCACAGATATCTAAGATGTCGGTGGTCACAGTGAGCAATTGTCAATGTTCAGAACAACCTTTAAATTCCACGTGCTCTATTGAATAGCCAAATGGGCGGGCGTGTGCCTGAGGAACCATACGTAGCTCCTCTGCCGAAGCCGAGCGCGTGCAGTATCATCATCGCACATTTCTGGGAGACCACCTTCTTCCTCCTTATATTGTTTGCTGCGTTTCTCTCTATTAGAGGATTAGTGAGAGCAACCAGACCTCCCAGGTGTTAAGTAAATGGTATACCTTGAATTTGGGATCTATGAGAATTCCAATAAAGATATTATATCGTTTGCATTTCGGGAAGCTCCAGTGACAGAAATATTGAAAGGTAACTATCGTTAGTTAAGAGAGTACTCTAGAAAATATGTTATTTTGTTTTCTATGTCCTCATTTTCCGCGACTTCATCTGCAAAATTTATAGCCTAAATAGGTCAAAGAATTTTCATGACTACAAGCAAATAAATGGGAAATTTCACCTCTTTATAATATTAGTATAGATTTTCTTTTAAGTATTATAAAAAATACAAAATCTGTGGAAATCTCAACTATCTATCACGGTTCATGGGATGCAGTCTGGTGAAAGTAAAACAATAATGATTGTTGTATGGGAGCCCCTTAAATATTTATTCTATTCTGGTTTTTAGTATTTGTTGAAGCGGCAACAGAAATACGTCTTCTGTACAAATTAACGTATCTTCTACGATAAATTACGAAATCTCATTGAATTGTTCATTCCTCATCAAAAAAAGGTTATTATCAATTGGTGAAGATAATAACGATTGATCAAGAAAGAGGAAATGCGTCAGCCTCAAATGAAATTGAGATTTGAAATTGAGTAAATAAATATTCAATAAGTTTTGATCATTAATCGTAGAAGATACGTTAGAGAATCCGTAACTCATGTGGGTATGAATGACGAAAACGGGTCTTACACTAGCTCTCATAATTTTCTTCTGACTTTTATATTTGGATTACTAAAATAATTATACTAGTTTCCATAAAATTCCTATCTTATGTTTTGTGAGTCATCACCAGCCTTTTAAAGTCTATTTTGCTGGGGTTCGGGTCTTCCCTAGGCTTACAATAATAATAATCTTTATTCAGACTAAAACAGAACATGTTTTTATACATAAATTAATAATCTGGCATTTTTGGTTACAAATTAGCACTTAAATTATTATGAGCCGCTGACCCCAAACTAGAATTAAATCTGTTTTTGGAAATCAGTGATTCCTCTTATTTAAAGAAACATTTTGCAACCATCGTTTTATATATTTGTAGAACTTTTGTGTGTGTGTGTGTGTGTTTATATATTCTATTTGGTTTGCCTACTTTTGTTATCAGTTTGATTGGTAGGTGTTAACGACTGTAGATGCAACCTACTGCTTAACTTGCCTTCCAAATGACGGGGGAGCTTGAGATAGCAAACTTTAGGTCACCCATCCTATGACCGGCAATTACGAAAGTTACTTAACAAACGTATCGCAGACCGAGCACGCTAACCACTGATAATAATTGGTTATTAGAAATATGACATACATTGTTTTGATCATAAGGTAAGCAGCTAATGTATTGTGTAAATCTGAACAACAAAGTTACCCACATCAACTTACACCTGAGATAGCAATCATTATTTTACAGGAACCGATTATAACACTAATAGCACGGACACTGAACAGAGAGAATTTCGTGCGTTGACCTTTGTAGATATCTTAAACATTTTAGGTTCACTTTACAATGACAAAATTGCCTAGATACATCTGTGCGAGCGCAATAGCAATATGATTGCGCAAGATTGAAATAAATACATAATGCCGGGAAATTGTACGAAATTCTTTCTCTTTAGCGACTGTGCATAGAAATAGAAATTGAATCTGAAAATTGACCTGCAAACAAACTTTTGCTACATTAACAAAATATAAGGCTCGTAACATTTTTTTACTAAATAAAGAAAGACAATACTTTTCAGGTATCTAATGGAGCTTGTTGGCATCGTACTGGGCTTGGTCCTGTATCTTCTCTTAGTTGGCATATGTTAGTACAATACCTTTATAAAAGTAGCTGTTTCACCAAGACTTTGGCTATGTCAATTATATCATGTCACACACGCTATGATATTGCTCCCTGTAGATGATTTTGTTTTTCAAAATCGCTCTAAGCGTTTCGAAGCCATTTTCATGTAAATAAACAATCAAATTATAAAAGATAATGAAGTTGTGAACGAATGTCATGTGGCGACCCATGCATGGCAGTTTTACCAAAGAGGCTGCGTCGTAGGATTAACTTATACTATTAATAATATACCTGTGTAATTTTAGACACAAAACAAAAACATTTGTTGCATCATCTGTTCCAAAGTTGAGTATCTGATATTTTATTAACATGAACGGAAATTGGAATAAACACTAGACATATCAACGTTAGTTTCCGAGTTATATACAATGTGCTGATAATGTTGACGCAAGTGACATTTGACTAGACATCTAATTTAATTTGTAATCGGATTCTCTGTTTTTAGTGATAATTATAAACGAGGCGTTCTGCAAAACCACTTGTCTAAAAAATGCAAGACGCATTCTCAACGAAAACCCACCCGATGTGGAACTCAACGAGAGGGATCCCACAAAGCAAACCAAGTCTTCAAAACGCCAGCACTATGTGGGAGACGTCCGCTCAGACCGAATCATTGACATCTAGTTCATTAAATCACTTACAGATGGCGCTAATTTCAGTATTGAAGCTGTTTATCTCTATTGTTAAGAGACGCCGTGACCAGAGCGAATTCAACACGCAAAACTTTGAAAATAAAATTTAAAAAGAAGGAAATTAATAAACTCCCTAATATATTATAAAACTGTTTATTTATTATTAAGTCTAATTAAAGCAGGTTTAATAAATAACCAATTCGCTTATGTTACCTTTATAGTAGAGAACTTAAAGCTAATTTTAGCAAATATTACCTATATTCTAAATCACATTTTTGTTTAGTCTTCAAGGAAGATTTTGTTCATAGGTACTTTATCAAATATTTTGTTTGAGACGTCTTGGAACACAGAACTTAAACTCTTTTCGTAGGCTTCTTTTAATTCGTTGAACACGAGCTCGGAGTTCTCGTTCAGAAAACTGAAAGAAATGGAATGTAAATATATGTGGTAAGTGTTTGTTAGTTTAATCGTAATTTTGATATACATAATATATTATACTTTAATAACGACGAACGAATGATGAAGAATAATAATAAATATTAGCTTATCACGGTTATCACGATAAATTTACCTCAAAAAAAATAGAAACCGATTTGAAGTTTAATCAAATGTTAAGTTAAAATTTTCGCCATTTTCCGCGAACTTGGATTTCTTAGTAAATAATAAACAGCAGATGCATACTTCGCACTAAAATTTTTAGACTCTACAAGCGATACCGAAGTATGTAGTATCAATAACACCTTTTGCCTATTAATAAGTTTGTAGGTATTCTTTTACCTAATGGAACCGGCTTGGGTTAAAAAGTATTAAGTGGGTCATGACGGTGCAGTGTGATAATGACCGAGCTATGGCAGAACAATGTTTGGGTATCACTGCTCTATACTATGACAGTGCTGCGTTCGTAGAGGAAGTTCGATGCAGTTTTCATTACAGAATAGCACCACTGATTTATTCGCTTGATTATGGCTCATTAGCTCTGGTCGAAGGAGTGTGGGCGATCGGCAGGTAGAGCAACGTCTTCCTACCACATCAATGGTGACAGATATAATATCTAAATATATATAACTCAAAGGTGACTGACTGACATAGTGACCTATCAACGCACAGTCCAAACCACTGGACGTTTGGGCTGAAATTTGGCATGCAGGTAAAAGTTATGACGTTGACATCCGTTAAGAAATGATTTTGATCAATTCTACTCCCAAGGGGATAAAATAGGGGATGAAAGTTTGTATGAAACTTTGTCAATTTTAAACCGATCGGGCTGAAACTTTGCAGTCATAAAGCTAACATGACGTAGGCATCCCCTAAGAAAGGATTTTGATATAAATTCCACAACTAAGGGGATAAAATAGGGGTGAAACTTTATTTCAGGTATTTTACATGATATAATGAATAAATATTCGTTAGAAATGCTGCTCAAAATAACTTTACCACGCGGACGAAGTCGCGGGTAAAAGCTAGTCTACATAATATAGATAGTACAATAGCAAATTGCAAGTAGTCGAGGTTCTATTGAGATGCGATTATTATGGAAACATTAGCATGATTGGTCTGCTGCCTTCGTTCATCTCATTGCTCAATGAAACAATGACCGACCAATAAAGAAAGGAACACCCGCGCATCGAATCTAGATTTCATGGACGTTTGTAAATATGCCGTGAGTCTCACATGTTCATCTGGTCGCCGAGGCGTCGGTCACCGTTGAAGAGGTTGGAGAAGTGCAGCAGCACGCGCTGCGGGTGGAAACGCACGCGGTATTCGCGCACGTGCATGAAGGTCTGGCCATCACGTGACACTGGCTCGCCAATTATATCGTGCTTCACCACTAAATTTACTGTAACAAAACTCAATTTGTTTGAATCCTTTCAGTTCAGTATGACCAATTCCGAAAAATATACAATTCCCGAAATGTCCAGTGAAACGTAAAAAACTTAAATCATTGAGAATAATCAGTAGAATTTTTTTTATTTTTTTCAAGAACCTTACTCAACAAACCCATCATGTTACTAGATTAGACATGTTGAGAATAGCTCATATCAGGAATTGGACATCTCGGAAATTGAATATTTCGAAGAAGCTTATCAGTATTGGATGACTGTAGTCTAAAAAATTAAAGTAAATGGTGATGTGAAGCATTATAAAGTTATAAAAATAATGTTTTAAGTGGAATGTCAAGTCACGCATACAGGTAATAGTTTTCTTGAAAAGAACAGACTAACTCACACATGGTGATGTTAGCGATGCCTTTCCCCTGGATGGGCAGTACCAGAATTCTGCCCTTCATCACGTAATCGGCGATAAACTCCATCTTGGGCGTCAATGAATCTGTTCGTAACCTGTATTGGCTTAAGTCCGCTCTGGAACACAAGAAAAAAAGAACGATTAGAAATCTTCCGTAATTTTATTTAAAAAAATGACGTGCATATGTTCATTGTTCTTTTAGAGCGGATAACATCGATCGTTATCACGGACATATTTATAGTAAAAAGCTATTTAATATACATATATTAACACATATGGGCCCGAGGTGATGACCCATTAGCTGTCTAATAAGAACGTTGAAAATCAATCAATTATTCGCGAAAAGAAAATGGTGAACATGTATAAAAATAAACTTTGAACCTACTTGTAAGTTGTGAGTATTGTGTCAGTAAGACCGTGCAACTTGATGTTCTTGTAGTTCTGCGTGATGACCACTGGCCCTGCGCCGGAGTCGATGTTAATGGTGGACACGTGCAGGGGTTCCATAGGAGGCACTGATAATGATGGCACCCCTAGAATGGTGGGTTAGTAAATATTAAACAACCACATACTTTACTCAGTATCTCAGTAGTAATAGTTTATGCGCTAGTGTTGAAAATATGAAATACGACGAGATATTATAGGAAAGCTCGTTTTATACAGTGAACCGCGGCTTGATAGTGTTATTTTAAAATATATCGCAATACCTATTCACGAACTTCATGCAAAAATATTTGACATATCATAGCGAAATCGGTCCTGGCGATTTTTTTTAAAAAAATAATTTAAGAAAAGCGTTAGACGCAAATATTTTTGAAAGATATCAGCTCTTCGAGAGCTGAAAAGAGCTTTGCTAACTGCTAAAATTTGACGGGTTTAGCTAACTTTTTATTCTTTCTTAATCATATAATCAAAAAACGACTGCGACTTTAATCGTTACATCCTATTAATATTATGAATGTGAAAGTTTCTTTGTTTGGATGTTTGTCCATCAATCACGCAGAAATTATTGAATGGATTTTGATGAAATATGGTATACAGATAGGGTATTAGCTGACTTAGATATAGCTGTCTTAGAGTAAAGTATACTTTTTATCACACTAAACATTTTCCTAGGGACCACCGCGGGTGATCTTTGAAAGGGGTTGCGATAAATTTTGAAAATAAACAATTAGCCCACAAGAAATTTTAATTAAGGGAATATATACAATAAAGTTCAAAACTTTAGATTATATCTTGATACTGTCGTGCGAGCTGTTAGGTCAAAAGGGTCGTAATGACATACAAAAATATAATAAAATATCTTTACAATAGAAATATTAATATGCTATGATAATAGAATCAAACTGTCCCATCAACCTCGCAAGGCTTGCCCAGAAGTTCTATGTGAGCCACACTATTATTATCAATTTAAAGATTGTAAACATAACAAGATCAAAATAACGGTAATGAATGATATGAAAACAAACTCTGTATAATATAATGTCAATTTAATAATATCATCATGTGTTTAGACTTAACTGTGAATATTCTTTTTATTAAATTTAATTAGAGAGCTTTTTAACTTGCTTTATTTTCTATAAGTACATAGAAAAGGATGTATTAGAAATGTTTACATTAATCGTGATGGTTTGTGATATAGGTAAAAATAATTTTCGGTGCTCTGTTTCGTGCAATGTAACGTTTCTTAATATCTTATTAGGTACCTGACGGTTTTGTCTTGCTTTATCTTTATACCAACTGTATGCATGACTATGTAGTCATGCATGCTCACGCGCATGCATAATTATGCGCGTTGTAGTAGTGTACTAAAATATATAGTTTAATAGGTAGGTACTTTAGGGTAAATATAAAAGCGGGGAAATTCTGATAATGACAAATTACCACCAAATCATTAGGCATCTTTTTCTATCAACTGCTAATTAAGTTGACGAATAAATAAACTTTAAATAGATAAAAAAACTTTTAAAAAGCTTTCGTGTTTACCCCAAAGCCTAGGTTTAAAAAATATAAAAAAAAACCTAAGTTTTACCTAATTTCATTTTCCGTAATGCATCTGGTACTGCTGATTTTAAACAGTCGTTTAGTTTTGGATCCTTTTGTCGGCATCGTTGGAAGTCTTCAGCTGTAACAGAAACATAAATTTAATATTATACAACAGTTATTCTCATAAACTTAAGGTGAAGATTATCTTGTAAAGTTTTTTTTATAGCTTATTAGCGAGATGAAACGATTGAAAATGATAGACTTTTTTCAAGAAACTTCCTTTTCAACAGTGAAAATCTCATCGAAATTTATTTCGTAGTTTAAGAGGAGTTAATACAAAAACTATTGTATTGAAACTACTAATTCTACTTTGTTTACATTATTTTGATATGTTTATACTGAAAGCTAGGTTGATGTTTATGAAAAACGATTACCTACATAGAAAGACCGGTGCGGTCACTTGATCATAATGCTTACATTTTGTGGAATGTACTTGTGGGTAGTTGAACCAAACATATTTTTGTTCTATCTATGAATACGTCGTGTATTGCTGTTCGCTTTGGTTTCATGTTTCGTATTGCTGTTGTTTTAAAATGTATAGAAAGCGTTCTCTTCGCGAAAGTGCAATACTAGAAGTACCTACTGCAAAATATATCGGAGGACCAATCAGATTGTGAACCAACTGAAGAAGAGAGACACATTCTGCATCAAGATTCAGAGAGTGAAGAAAGTGATGCCAATGTTGTTAGACAAGAAAGTGATTCATCATTGTTTGATGATACTGATAGTGTTTCTGAAGGTCTGTGATAATTCTAATTTATTATTGATGTAATGGTGTTGAAACTTGCAAATAAATAATTATTTTTCGATATTCAGACAAACGGAAATCTTTATAGTTATTTTATTGTTTTAGATTCAACACCTCTCTCGGCTTTACGCAGTACAAACGAAAATCTAAGAAGAGGAAGAAAAGAGTCAAAGCACCTTCTCGCCGTTGGCTCATGCAAGTTTTTATAATATTTTGGATCTGGCAGTAATCGATTCTTGGATTTTGTACAAAAAACAAACGCACAAAATATCAAACGAAAAAAGTTAATTCCTTTATTCAGTTTGATTTTTTCATTTTGATTATGACCTGCTGACGCCATCCACCTCACAATCCAATAATAACATGCAGAGCTTGATGTGGAACCTAGCAGAAAAAGGAGACAGGGTTTTGTGCTAAAATGCGGAAACAAAACTAGTAAATACTGTCATACGTGTAAAAAACCTATGTGGGGTTCTTGTAATGCTAACAAGGTGTTTAAATATCAACAGTGTGCATAATTGTATTTTTTAAACTTATTTTCTTTTTACTTTTTAATAAATTCATTCAATACTTTCCTATGTTACTTTAATTTAGTAAAAATAAAACACAAACTATAAAGACATTAGTACACATAAATAAAACATCACAGCCAAAGATACGTCATTTGACACTCTTGGTATTTCTAGGTAGGTAGTTCAAACTTTCGGTCTTACTAGTATTAAAGGCCTAACAGACATGCAACTATCTATCAACTCTAACATAAAAATAATCGCGTACTTCCATTTAAATTAACTTCTCGGGCTCGACTAAAATCAGGAATCATGTCATCAAAAGTTTTCAAGTTCAATGATATCAATGATGTTACATCTAAAAATATAATCCCGTTAGACTACAGATTATTAAAAACCAGTTTTATATAAATAAGTCGAATACTTTAAACTTTGCTTTAAACTCATTAATTTACATGTCCATTTGTGTAATGGCGAAACCTCTGGGCGAGCGAAATTCATAACCGCACAATATGTCAAGCTGACATTGACATAGTAACAACATAAGAAACGCAATGAAGATCATTTAAAATAACACAAGATCCTAAAAGACCGTTTCAAGCTGTTGCATAGCCTGCGGTTTCAACATTTTGACGAAAATTCTAAAATGTTAAAATAATATGTGAAGCAAATCTTACAAACTATTATGAAAAATAAATATAGCCAATGACAATACTTTATTGACACACTATATATCTAATTTTTAACACTATCTAGCTTAAAATGTAAATGTGCAAGAACAATAATTTGCATACTATTAATAAAATTTGTTACTCGATAATTTGTGACGTTATTATAGTATGGCCAGTTGACAATTGTTGTCAATAAGACAATGAGCGATTAATGAAAACGAGCCACAAAAACCGCCGGTATCCCGCACGCGGACGTCATCGACCAGTGTAAATAAACGATAGTCATAAAGAGTCGCACGGGAGCTAATGCACGGAATCAACAAGCATATGAAACGCCTCTCTTCTTTTCAAGAAGTACTAAATATCCATATTTCATAATTTAACAATATTTACAATAATTTTTTGTTAAGATTAAAATGTTCATATTTACAAGATAACATGGACGAAATAAAAGTAGAAAAATACCTCCAACAACGTGACACAATAAAATTTTATTCTTTCACAAAAATACTCAAATAATACAGACTCAAGTTTTCGAGACCGCAACTTTTCAGTGACATCAAATACAACCTTCTTGAAGAGGTAATAAATGTTTTACTTCATCGTTCAGCTCTGTGTACAACGCTGTGCTCGACGTCAAGTTTGAGGCTGTTAACAGAACAGCAGAACAGAGTAGCTCGGTGGCGTAGTGGATAAGCGCCGCGGTCCACGATCGTTGTCGTTAAGCAACTTTCGCAAGGGTCGGTCACGGGATGGGTGACCAAAAAATCATTATCTCGAACTACTCCGTGCTTCGGAAGGCACGATAAGCCGTTGGTCTCGGCTGCATTTGCAGTCGTTAATACCCTCCAATCCACATTGGGCTAGCGTGGCGGGTCGTGGCCCATCCTCCTTAACCATCCATAAGGAAGGCCTGAGCCCCTGCAGTGGGGACGTAAAAGGGTTGATAATGATGATGATGAACAGAACAGCATAGCTGACCTAGACCTAGGAGAGACTATCATCTGAGCATCTTAAGTGTTTTTTGTAACCTTCACTACTAGTCAACATATTTTCATCAGTCTATGTAATCTTACGTAAAGAGCAGATTTTTTTATCTACTTTCTATTAATTAATACGAAAATGCAAAATATCTTAAAAAATAAATAACATGAGATATAACAATATTAAAATAAATAATATTGGATAATAATATTACAAGAGGTTTTATTACGAAAGTCACTCGATCAACGTGCAAGCGGGAAGTAGAACCGGTTTTATGCAATCGTTACATTATTCCTTAAGGTTCGAGAAACTATTTTAAAACATTACATTAGATAATATTTAATAATCGATGAATAGTTGGTGAGCAAGAATTATGAACGTCGAGGAAAGTCGAGATCGAGATCAGAGACAGAAACCATTTAGTTTTTCCCTCTTATTTTGCTGCTGGCGCCTCAATGTCGAATGTGGAGTGAATTTGAACTAAGTTATGCGAGATTTTGATGTAAATCAATCTAGCCGCTATTTCCTTAATTTCGTCTAAAATTGGCATTGGCGTCGTGGCTATTAGGCTACAAATCACTTCAACATACTACTCAACTACTAACATCTCCATTGATATATATTAGTGTAGAATATTCTTTTGATTCCGTTCCTTTAAAAATAGATTTTTTTTTTAAATTCAAAACAAGATTAATTGATTTATACGTGATTCAGATATTCCATCCCTATGTCATTTCGAAACTCACTTCACTCATGCCACGAAACGTGAATACTTATTCAAGGTTAAGTGGATTCCCTTTCACCATAGGGTATTCGAATTCGGGATTTTTAAGGAATCGCTTTGCTGATTTAAACCATTGTCTCACTAAAATAAGTCTATATTTGACGTTGTCATGTTTGAATTGTTTTAATTGAGTACTAACTTTAGTCCTCCTTTTTAAAATAAGACGGTTTGAATTCTGATAAATAAAAACAAATGTTTTATTTTTACAGTACCTATAGTTCTATTTTTACAGTATATATTTTATAAGTTCGATTTTTACATATGACTCTTAGTTTTTTTCGGTTATTAAAAAATACAGAAAATGTATTCCTATCACAAAATATGAGCTTTGACTTGCCTTCCTGCATGACAAACTCGAGAAACGCTTTATATAAACGCCACACCAAATTTCACTTTTCTCCGGTTGAGAGTTAGATTTTGTATAGGTGACATTCGGATTTAGACAAGACGTTCTCGATTTGCCATGCTACGCCTGTTGCTATAAGAAGGGCTTATTACAACAAAAAACTATAATTTAAGAAATATGGAACTAGCAATTATTTGCTGATAATACTAACAAACACTAGGGAAATAGTGCTGATTATCCAGTTACTGTTAAAATTAAAATTCAACCTGCTATTCCGTCAGTCGTAAGAAAAAGACTTGAAACTTGCTACATGTAAATTCAGTATTGTGTCATCGAACAACGGAAGATTTCCTACGACCTACTTCTCTTAAATTTCACCACTATCCTTCCTGCAATACTAACACTGCGCACGCGCACATTTGTGTACCGTATGTGAGCAAACCGGGTCGTTTCTCAAAACCATGCTAAGGTCACTGTGGTCACTGTCAGTCAAGTGTTAATAAATTATCTTTAAAGAAACTTCTCTGTCTGTCTATGTATTAAATAATGATTTCCTAAATTAAAAATTATTGTTTTCCTAAATTAAAAAATTAAGTTAAGCCTTTGTATGATTGTAATTTGAAAAGCGAAGGTACCATAATACCTGGATACGAGGCAACATGGAAAATATTATTTTCTACATTGACTAGACCGGTAACCGATCTCGGGACCTTACCTTACCGGGCATTGGCCCGGGCATCACCACCGGGCGATAACCTCGAAACCAGAATGAGAGCCACTCAGCATAAAATAGGAATATAACTTTTTCATGAATTTCTTTACTAAAATTATAAAAAGCCAAAAAGCTGTGGAAATAAAACTATCTACACAGTGAATGGGTACTATTATTAAAATTGTGAAAAACAAACAAAAATATTAACGAGTAAAATATATTTACACATTTTATACTTAATTATTACTTAAAAATACGTAATTATCATTAATAATATATAAAGTACCAAACGTTGTAACGCTATAGATAAAGTACCAGTTATATCTAGCTACCACGTCCCGACCCGCGCAACCTGTTACTAATATAGGTTAAAAGTTAGGGTAAAAGGAATGAAAGAAAGAGCAGTCTTTTCTATTTTTCTTGGCAGTGTTTCTCAGTACAAAGTTCTCTTTTTTATTTATTTATTTGTACCGTAGATAGTAGTACCACGGTTGGTATAAATTAAATGATGGCAAAGTTTTTCATATTCATATGTGTTTGTATCAGCCTAGACTAAATAAATGACATTTAATTGCAATCCCATACTCTTCTTTGATGCTCGGGATAGGGTTAATATAATCTTGCCCGTTTTTCTCACATATAGGCATCGTCTAAATCTATCGCCTAAATACTTAGGAATCGCTTATAGTGAATATATTTCACCAATTACTAGGTACCACCTAACAACAATAAACAATGTCTAAAGTTATGAAATA